GTCATGAGGTATGAAGTGTTACCATACCAGTCAGGGAGTTTAATTTTGCAAAATTATTTGTTAAGAAAAAAACTTGGAATTAGCCGACTTTTTATTGGCAATTTACATGTAGCAGCCATGTGTCATTGAGCATGCTGTATTTTATATTGGTGGATTTTCACTGCAACCACTGGTAATAGTTATTCAATGCTATTACTGTATTTACCATGCTCACTTCTCACACACATATACATGTACAGCAGATGCCTCTTGCTTTGGGTGCAATATGTTGCTGTACAACTCATGTTAGTATAATTTATTATCATTCTTAGGTTTAATAATGAGAGCGCTGAGACTGGTTGTACTCCTCAGCTCTCTCAAGCTAACACTGATATCAGTGACTGTGTGAGGAGGATCCCAGCACTGATGCAATCCTTTGCTGAGTATATTGAAGCACTGGCAACATGTATGACGAAAATACTGTACACATACATGTACATATAGATACACAATGTAGATACATGCATTATGCTCAGGAGTCAAAAGAAGCCAAATTTTATAATTTTTAGCACTTAAACAGTATATGGCATTTGGAGCAATTTTAAAAAGTCAATTTTGATTGTTCAAATTTTCTATATAACATTAAAAAATATGTTTATGTATCATAAAATAGAGAATTCTTTCCTTGTCAGTTTTTGACGACATTTCTCATATTGTGTATTTGTATTTATAATTAGATCAGTTTGATGGAACTGCCATTAGCATTGTATTGGTTAAGATAAAGTCATTCTTTCACTTATTCCACAATAACATTTTGTTCTTTAAATTTATTGTCACACCTGATAATCCTGTCGTAGATTCTTACTAAATACATTAGAGTCACTGTCAGACTTTGTGATGTTTAGGCTAAATTAAGGCAGTTGTTACCTCAAAATTTTTATACTAGTGGGACACTTGTTGGAGAATGACTTACTTTTATCATTGATATGTCAATGCTCTTTGCTCCTTTGGCCACGCCTAGATCTAAGCCAGGATATAAGGTTGCTCAAGAAGTCCATTCAGATGAAAGAAGCAGCTGGTCACGATCCTACAGAGGACGCCATGACATGCATGGAGCTTGTTAAGAAGAAACTTCTCGAAGGAGTTGATTGTGTTATCGAATGGAAAGAGTTCAAGCTATGGCTACCTATACATCTAGCAGCTAACGGAGTCTCACACTGCGTCATTGATAAGCAATCAATGGCTTCACTTTACACAGGCCGGGTTGAGAGTTCTTATCAAGCTGTAATGAGTGATCAAGAAGCTGTTGATAAAGTACTTGAATGTGCTCCAAAAAACAATTTCATATTCACACAATTGCACTCAATGGAAGTATTGAAGAAAAGGACTACTGGTTATACTGAGGAGTTTAAATCCACTCTCTCTGAACTGAATAAGCTATGCTGTGACATAGTGTCTTCATTTCCTCCTGAGAGTATCATCATGATTGTCTGTGGTAGTGGTCATATTGGGGAAATGAGGAAACTCCAGAAGGATTCCAGTACTAGTCTTGAGGTCCTGAAAAGTGCTGTGATGAAAGCCAGGGAGGGTAGGGTTTTTGCATTGTTAAAATAATTTGATTTTATTTTTATTGAGAACTGTTTTTGAAATTTCAAATAATTTTGCATATAATGGGTGGTGCAGGGACATGATGCAATGTAGTTTCACAGGCCAGACCATTCCCCAGCCTACACTAATGATTGTAGGCTAAGGAATGGTATAGACGCAATGAGTTTTGGCCGATGCTTATTTTTTACAAAGCAATTAATAGAATTGTTAAATATTAATAATAATTAGAGAGCAGCAAAAAACTTAATCAGCAAATAGAACTATATACTAGCTAGTTTAGTTAAGTCTAACAATGTACTAAGTTGGCTATTAATAACACTAAGGCCTAATTAATTACATGTAAAGTTAGCGATTCTTTTTCTTTGTTGCATCATGAAGATGGACTATTTCCTTCCATGTACAAGCAACTTGACTTAGTTTAATATCAGGAGGAAACAACTCCATAAGATAAAAAATAGACTCAGACTTGGTTTGATACACATAGTCAAACAAGACTACTCTCAATCTAATTAGAATAATTAAATATAATAGCTTAAATTAATCTTAGAGTAACTCTTACTGTTTATGCTTGTCTTCCAGATGACATGTTTGTACATAGGTTTGTATCATCTCGTACATCACTTCCAGCATATTATCTATGTTAGTCATTTTACTGATTGCTGCTTCAAGAGATACTTTTTGTTGTTCATCCTAAATTAAATTTTAGAATCAAGCATTGTAACAAAATAATCAATATAACTGACATCTAGTTCTTCCATAAATTCTGATTTAACAGTGAATGGATCCTATAGGAAAATTATTATTATCTTAATATTGTGTAGTGGAATAGGGTAAAGGGTCATTTCATTTTGGATGTTATTATCTAAAAATGTGGTCAAAGAGCTTCAAAACAGCTTGAAAAATCGACAAAATTATAAATTTTTAGCTATAGCAAATGTTAAAATGCTTACACAGCACCTGTTATATAATCTATCTATAATTTCTCACATAATGCTTTAAGATTTTACCTCTTCATTTCGAACTCTGTATTTAGCACGTTCAACATTCAAAAACCTCCATAATGGTACAACATGTTCTAAGCAGCAGAAGTCAGTAATCTAGGCAATAAAACTTACATAGATTAGAGTAATTTTTTGATCTATACCTTTTCACTTCTTAGTTTACCAATAATAATTAATTCTTTCTCTACATATTCTTTTAGTTTCTTTTTTGATGGCTCTTTTTTTCTTTGAAGAAATCTCATTACAGTCTCAACTGTCTCACATGTAACTGTCATCTCAGCTAAGTTATTTTTGAGATCCATCAAAATCCCTGACCGCACTAGAGGAGGCAGTGCTTGCTATAAAGTTAAAAAAGTAATGGTATTTGCATCACACATGACCTACTTGAGTGATATTTTTTTTAACAGCTGCAATGATTTGTGTATTGAGAACAGGACGTTTCCATATAACCTGCGGAATATCTAATACTTGGGTTATAATTGGTTTTCCTAATACAAATTCTTGAACAAAATCTCTTTCAATGATTCCAAGATCATTTATTTGAATAGTAACATTTCCATTAGAGATAGTGTATACACTATGAGATTGAACTAGCCTGACAAATTCATCAGAACACTTCACAAAATGCTTAGAATTTAACTCTTGCAATGGCACCTTTGGGCTTTGCCACAGCCAATTTCTATAAAATTTTATACATGAATCACAAGTTTGTGTGCATGTATCATGCATAATACTTTTTAAGTGAATCTTCCACAAATTTGCAGCAAAGTCTAATGAACTTGTTATGACTAATGACAAGATGATCAATTAATCCAGTGGTGATGACTCCAGGTCCATAGGTTGTTGGTATGAGGTGCTTCATTTTCATTTTTTTAGAAATTTCTGCTTGAATGCTGTTGTTCTTTAACTCAAACAATCGCTCTGCAATACAAAAAATATTTAATGATATTCTTTATACAGTACATACCATTATCAAGCTCATGATGACATAATTCCCAAGCTTGCTGAAAAGAAACAAAAAAACTTTCATAATCATCTTTTTGTTGGTCATCTGCATATTAAAAATAATTATATCTCTTTTTTGTATTTATAGTTACCAATTTGATTAACAAATTCTCCAAATGACATGTTCTCAATAGTTCCTTGTGTCTTTTCATCATAATCAAATTGTGAGATAGCTTTTTGAGTTATCTTCAGCATTTTAATAATATCTGGTAAAAATTTCATTGCTTGAAACCTATGAGCCTAAAGTACATGTTAATACTAAACTTATATATATATTTTGTTAGCCGACTTCAGAAAGATATGTGAAGATTACAGGATGCTGCTCAGACACTTTTATGGTCAGTAACTGCCCACAAATTTGTTGTGAAGTCAATGTAGGATAAACATTCCATAAAAATGGCTTTGATGATGTCATTGGAGTCATGTACACAGCTCCAAATAATTTGCTGTAATCTACAATGGCCTTGAATTTTGGCAAAAATAAAAAAACATACCTCTAGCAGTTAGTTCTTTTAGCATTTTTTGAATGCTAGACCCTGTATCCTAACGTAATAGTGTCAGATAATCTAATAATGAACTATAATTATTAGCATTACTTTGACAACAGGTTCAATGTAACAATCATAAAACTGTTTCTCCCATTTTCTTCTATCATCTAGTTTTACTAAATTACCAACAACATTTTGTCCTATTGTGTTATCCCAAATAAAATAATCAATGTAATTAACAGATTAACCAACCTGTTAGTTGCACATGATGTCCTTTCTCATTGATTTGCTTTAACACTAAATGAACTAACAATGCAGCTTCATCAATAGAATGACCAGTAATGCTTGATAACTGTTGTATATCTTTCTTTATTTGATCCCAAAAAAATAAATTGTACTCTGGTGAAGATAGGTCCAGTTTTCCATTCATCAGTGGTGAAATATTCTGTTTACAATGAAATTAATAAACATCTTTGGTTTTAGTACATACCTTTCCATTGCAGGATGACCATAGTAAGCATGAGTGCATAATGCACCTAATGATTGCATATGAAGCATTAGAAAGAAAACCAGTTGGAGGGTTTCTTTCCATGTCATTTAAAGGTATATATCCAGGAGAAGCTTCATTTTTAGTGAATTTACTTGTAAGAGCAATAAAAACACATTCCAGAAGTTTAATACTTACTCTACTGGAGCCAATGATTTACTTGAATATTGTATAATTCTACCACAGTGGATACAAAATGACTCCAACTAAATATACATTAACATATAAAATCAATACATACATCTATTGTAATACCATAATGCCTGTGTATTGATGGCCATTGTTGCACTCTGAATAATAATTATAGGCAGTACAATGATAATACTAATAGCACTTACGAAGAAAGCTTTCCTCCCTGCCTTCTTCCTCTTCTTTAGTACTTGACAACTTTATAGGCATAGCAGGCAACAGTAAGTCCTTTCATAACCATATGCAACTGTTGTAAGTATTCATCAATAATTATATGCATACTTTCAGTGTCTCTGGTGATGAAATAAAGTTTAATAACATTTTCATATGTCCAGTTTTTCTGTTAGTAAGTATGGTAAGAACTGAATGGACAACTATCATTTGATATATTGAATCTTCATGCTCATCTTTTTTAGCTTGCATTGAAGGGAAAATGCTGCATTGCTGATTTTGAAGGAGTTCATCAACAATATGTAGGACCTGTGTAAGAAATTTTAAAATAATTTAAAACTTATATAACAATGAAAGTTAACTTCTTGGTCTTTTGTAAAAAGCTGGCAGGTTTTAGCAAAACCTCTAAAATTCTCTAAAATCTAGTTGTTATTTAAACATGAATAATACGTTTAAAGTTATTTACTTCTGATGAAAGCTTTTTTGAAGGATTATCTGTTGCATAGCTTAATTTTACTCTTTCAAATAAAGCTAATGCAAGTGGAACAGCAAATGTAGAATCAAGATCCTGTCAAAAAGAATAAAAATAACAGTAATCATAATGATAAAATGTGCATACATTAACTGTTAAATTTAGTTCACCAAAATCCCCTGTTGCAGCTCTACTAATGGCAGATCTGATAACTTGATAAGTAGGATTGTATATAGCAACAATGTCCATAAACTCTTCATTCTGTGGGTAGATTTAACATAACAATAGATATGCAAGTGTTGTAGCTAGTCCTATACTTGTCTAAAGTTTTCAGATGGCGAAGTCCAATTGAAATAACAGTTTCGGAATATTTTCATCAATGATATGCTACCAAAAGTTTTTATAATATAGCGAATGAGATACCATAATGGTCCTTCAGTAGTTTGATCATCATTAAGATCATTAGCTAAACAATAACTTTCAACTTCATTAAAGAGATAAGCAATATCAGGATCAGCCTTAATATCAAAGAGTGGATTATGCACTGATTCATGTATTTTTTTTGCTGAAAGTTCAAGTCCACTTGTAAACTTTGCAACTGCTAAGCACTGTGATAACAATGATGTTTTAGACTGAATCAACAGGCTGTGTCCTTCACCTAACAAATTATCTGTAACAGAAATGATTTCCCCACTCAGAATTGCTACAGTAGCCTATAATAAAAACATCACCAGGGATATAATCATTATAGTTATATAGTCTACCTTCATATTTGCTAGAACTATTCCAATAAAGTTTTGGAGATTTGGTAGAGTATTTTTTTCTATTGTATTACTCAGTTTACTTTGTATAGTAATACACCTAAAAATTTTACATATGAAGCCACAAACAAAAGTAGAATTACTCGTATTTCAGGATGAGCTTAATTGTAAAGAACTGCAAGTAAGTCATTTCTTCCATATGATTATGCAAATAAGTGCACAGCTTTTGATCTTTCCAATCATGTGGAGTAGTTGAGGTTGAGAATACGGCCTGAATTAGACTATCAACCAATTTCTCATTATAAATGTTTCCATCAAAGCAAAGTGAAGACAACACTTCCAAGAAGAAGGACCAACAGCTTTGTTTGATCATCTGCCATTTTTCTGCTTCCCTATAAACAAATGTGAATTAGGCAATTTATACTGAAAAATTTTAACTATACAGTTTTTTAATTTCGTTCTCAATTCCAAAAAGTAAGTGAGCAACAATGTTTAGAGCATCAGAACTTTGAAAATGATCAATTTTTGCTAAAAACTATATAATAGATTTAAATTAATTAAATAATTTTATTAAATTTTATAGCTAGCCTTCTCAAATCTTCCAGCAAAAACTATTGTGTCTTTATAGTTTGGCAATACAACGTACTCAAAAAACAGTTTCATCACACAAATCCGTTGCCATTTTAGGCTAATTAAAAAATAATGTAACATTTATGTGCAAGCATATTTTACACTTACATTACTTTTGGAGGTATAATCAAACATTCTTCAACAATACTAGAAATGACTTTATGAGACTCATACTGCCTTTGCATCCATTCTTGTAATGATACCCCTTTCTTACTCATGAGTGGAACCTGCACATCTAAAAATGGGCTATTTAAAACCATTTCTAATGCCTCAACTAATAGTATCTACATGTATAAAGAAAATCGATCATAATTGTTTCAAAGTTCCATTAGTAACTTCACTTGAATATTTGAATCATTTCGCTTTGATTTCATTTTGTAGATAGTAGATGGCACTAGCATTATGAGCTCAAAAAACAAATCAAAAAATGAATTGCTTTCAAAATAAACCTTCCGTACATTAAAAACTATTTGAAACAGTGAAGTGACATTAAGCTCATTAGAAGAGAATATTCCTGACATAGTAATCATACATTCCTCCAAAACCTAGAAAGGATTATTATCAAATTATTAATTAATTAGTACCTCATAATACACTTCATCCACTGCTTGTCCTTTAGTGTCCAAAAGGTGAACAAAATCATGAACATAAAACCTTGCAAGGGAACTAATAGTATTTTCTGGTAAACTTTCAAAGTTTTTGAACAAATCATAGTCTTTGTCCTGTAATAGTGCCATAAGTTCCTCAGAATCTATTGAAAAATATATATTATTCAATATTTTTGTTAAGTGTACCTTTATTCGGATTTTCCTTAACAATATCATTCAAAAGCCAGAAAAATGGAAAATGGCATGAAAACTGCTTTGATGAAGCAGTGTTTGTACTGAAACCATCATCTGGTGTAGATTGAAGCTTTGATATTACCAGTCGAGTGAAATAATTAGAGTTGTACAAATTAAGCCACAATTGTTCTAACTCAGTTTCAATTCTTGATAATAATTTCAAATTTGCATATTTATCAATAATAGAGATAATTTTCGCAAATATTGGAATGATAATATCATCAAATCTCCTCACTACAGCATTTTGAAATGTTCCAGCTTCTTGAAGTTTAGTCATATTCATAGATTCATCTAGTATCCATTTTTGTAGAGCATTTGTACCCTCTTTTAACTCTCTATCCTTGAGTATGCCCTTAATGAGACGAATAGTTTGTGAATGAAATGTGGTTTCATCTATAGAAAAAATTTTGAGTTAATGACTGAAAAAATTACTATACTAACCTGTTCTAAGTGGGAAAAGTATTTTTTGAGGAATGATTTGTGATAGTTGATTAACTTGCTCAGGATTTGATGCAGCTTTTGATATTTGCAGATACAATCGTTTACAAAGGTCTATTTTCTGAGGTTTTGTACATGGTAAGAGTTGGGAATTTTCAAATGGTTGACAGTCATTAGTATCACCAACACTAGCTAAAGAATCAGTCAAAGCATAATCTTTCTCATCATAATAAATGTCACTCATAGAGTACACTTCACCACTAAGGATCTGATTTAAAGGTACTGAATTCTCAGTTGGAACTATAGCATCAACATGATAGCATAGCCAAGGATGCCCTTGAAAGCTCACAAAGTTTGACTTTAAACACTTCTTTGGCAGATGAATGAGGAGAATGAATCTAGTGCTCAAATAGCCTGACTTAGCAGCTTCTCTGAATTTGTCAGTAAGATGATACCGACAACAAGAAATTAAATTTCCATTTTCATGAGCTCTTTCACATTCAAAAATGACACAATGTTCATGAGACTCACCATTTCTTATCATTATACTACAATTCAATGAAAAGATATGCACTACCACTTTACTTACTCAATGCTATTAATAAAATCCTGCTCAGTTTGAAATGCTTCTAAATAAAGTCTAGTCATGTTTTCCTTTTCAATTTGAATGTGATTTCCTAATTCCTCAAATTCAGTTTGTGAGAGTATTGGAGCATGAGTAGTCACCTAAAAATTATACGTTAGCTATAAATTATACTTACATTATTCATAAAGCATCAATTAAATAATGCTCTTGTGATTATACCTGTAATAGTGTTTGATTATCTGGAGGAATTCTGTTGATGAGGTCTGCAAGTGATGAATGCTCTTGATGTACAAAATATATTTGTTGATATTTCTTATTCATGCAATCATTATAAATGCTCCTGACTATAGCATCTGGAGAAGCTATCTGCAACAGCAGTCTTTTACTGATCTCAAGAACCTATTATGTGCATACTGTGCT